CGTATTGGGCTGCATAAGCATTTTCCTCGCCTCGGAATTCCATTCTCTTCGGGTGTACTGTTTATCAGTCCATTGTCCACAAAATTTGCCGCCGTGGGGTTCATCCCCTTTAGATTCTGCGTGATCATGATCGCTGCCTGTCCCCTGCAGGAGAGAGCAGTGAATCTCTCGCACCACCTCCTTCGTCTTCTGTATCCGTCAAGCACAAGGACCCAATACCAGACCGCTCCTCCTCGCGAGTACCAGAGCCAAAATCGCGCTGCACGTCAATCGCATCCACTGCACGAAGGAATATGCGCCGAAGAATCCAGTCCCCATGGTGTTCTACTTTGTGCGTTATGAATGGATGTGGGGCTACCTGGCAAGGAGTTTGGGAGTGGACGTCACTAGGCAGTAAGTAGCCCTTTGACGGGCACCTAAACTACCTAGGTACCTAACAACCTAGGTAGCCACGTGTTAGCGGAGCAAGCTAGCGCTTTCTCGGGAGACCAGGCCCGCCTTGATAGAAGCGGTATGAATGACGTTACTCTCACGTCGTTTGTTGCCACATCACATAACGTAACTCTGTGCGTACTACCGGCCACAATGTACAACACATGGTCTAGAACGTCCATAACTCGACACTACCTCGACCTATGATGACCCTTTTTTGGCTTGTCACATGGGACTACTCGTTCTGAGGCCATGAAGTTAAGACGCCTCCTCGTCTAACTTAGGCCTTGCAATCTGGAGTGCGGTACAAAGGCTCCGGTGCTGCGTAACTAGCAATTGTGGTAGTGCAGTTTAGACGAGATGTCCACAGGAATAATATGTAGTTTGATAAACATAAGGTGTGCATGGATCACTGAAGCGACTCATAAATGTCTTTAAGACATTCCCTGTATCCACTCCTGCTGCTGCTCCTTGACATTCCTCGCATTAACATCACAATGTCTGACTCAGCTCAACCATCGAAGCCTATGCTGAATATTGCTGGCATACCACTTAGGTCTTCTTCGCAGTACTACACTCAGTCTCGTCAGCAGCAAGGGAAATCCCATAATGCAGAAAACCATCCTCCGAGCAATCGTACATACACGCCGTCTAAGTCGCCGACACTACCTGATGAGGCCGCAAGATGTCATATGAGACACCCAACTTTCCCACTTCGACAGCAACATCCTGAGTTAGACGTCCTTCAAAAGGATCCACCAAAGCTATCAATGCATGACTTTCAATCTCAAGTCAACCTCGGCGGGGATGACAAGGCGCTAGTTTCGACAAATGCTGCCCCATCAAGCCACGGCGATCCCATGACAGCGGAACAGATCTCATATCAAAGCACAGCTGGTGAAGTCGTGAATGGCGTTATTAAGAAGGCCGCCACAGTTGCTTTGAGTCCTACTCAACATGTGAATATTCTAGCAGCTAATGCACAAGCGGATGCAGTCCAGATGGTGAACGATGCTATGGACCAAGCCCATGACACCATTTCAGGGCATACACCCATCCGTGATACAACTAAGCAGATCAGGCACAACGTCTCACCAGACAGCCATGAGCTTGCTCAGAAGGGCTATGGCATTGATGGTGCTGTGCAGGACACACAAGGTATACCAACCAGTGGCGTGAGAGACATTGGATGGCATAGGACTACAATCGACATTCCTGATCCCCTGATTGGAGGCGTGTCAAATGGACAGCTCTTCCTAAGTATCAGACGTTTTAACAAGGTGAGATATAGCTCCCTATGTTGATAGAGACGGCTAATGTCTCATTAGGATGTATTTCATGTGTGCACAGTTCCACCAGACGATTCTCACGGACTCGACTTGAACGAAGCTTGGTCAGACAAATATGCATCTGACAAGATCACATTACATTTTCAGCGATTTTACCTATCAGTCATATTGGGTGTGGCTAGCTTTGGGAAGCATGTCGCTAGACTTCGTTCATGGAAAGAGGCACGTCGAACCAGTGCATTCTTTGTGGTACGCACCGCCTTCTTCCTTCTACTTCCCATATTTTGCTTACCAACTAAGGCTTATTTCACTGCTTGGTCTTTTGATCTACTGGTGCCTCTATTTCTCGGCATCCTGATCATTGTAGTCTCTTCCAAAGAAGCTCGCGATGTTCTCTTTCCACCAGCTCCTTTGGCTCTAGTTGACATCAGTACTGGTGGTCTTCAAAAGCCGCAAGCTGGTCAGCTAGGAACTACCAATACCTTGACTGGTGCCCCAGAGAAAGAAGCAGGTGAAGCTGCTGAGGAAGAAGCTGCAAACTTTGTTGACAATATTCGTCATCTATTGGGGAAGGCAATTGGAATGCATGACAGTTCGGAAAAAGAAGGGGACCCTCTGGAAGGAAAGGTCCCTAAGCCCATCAGAAACGTGGCAAAAACCATCAAAGCTGCCGGAGCAGCCCCTGGCCATTCCTCAGACCCAAATGATCAAACCCAACAGCCTATGGAGGAGATCATCTGGGGAGAGGCGAACCCAAAACAGATAGATCTATTTATGAAGAACGCTCCACACGTCTTGGGCGAATTTGTCGACAATTGGGAGCGATTTGCAAAGTGAGGTTTATGCCAGTCTGCCCAGGATTATTACTGACACTGGCAGTGGTATTTCACCAACTGCACCATTCCATCGCTACAGCTTTTTGAGAATCGAAGCCATACTAGTACCAGCATTTCTAGTCTCTTTTTTCCTCGATTACTACCAAATCTACAAGGGGGCCGGGCTTGCTATTGGACTAGGGATATTTGGCGATCCAGCCTTGACACCAAGCCTCGAGTGGCTCAACAACAAGTATCCTGCCTGGATCGGGCTCTTGCAGCCAAAGAAGTAAAGTCTCTCATGTCATTATTGTGAATGGGTCTAACATTTTGAAGTAACATTCTTCGCGGTGTCCCCACCAACAGTCAACTCACGCTTACTCTACTTCGCATTGGTGAAGCAAACAAAACCCCCATCCCGCCTGTGCCTACATCTGACCCTGAAGACCGCGATCAAAACCAAGCTGCAGAAGTAAACGATGTTCCGCTCTCTGCTACTAAAGCTGAAGTATCAGACGCTGTCTCCCCATCCAGCACCATAGATAAGCCGTATTCAGTGGAAGAGCAAGAAGACACTGCTCCCAAGCATAAAAAGATCTCCAAGATCATGCGCGTCTTGAAAGGCAACACAAAAGCGGCCGCCGAGACAGCGCTCGCGATCGACCACGTACGCGCACACATCGGCTCTGACAGGGCCAAAGGCCACCTCGGCGTGCTGCCCAAGACGAAAAATCTCGTCTACGCCGGGCCGAGCGAGTACAAGGCCCGCTATGACGGCAAGAAGGGTTGGGTATACATCACGGACTCGGTTGTGCGGTTCAGCACTAAAGAGCATCATGATCAATCCGCCCCCCTGATTGAAATTCCGCTCAAGTATATCAAACAGCTGAAGCGTGCCACGGCGTTTGCTGGGAAGGCCGCGGAGGTAGCCGCGGATTGGGGAATGGAGCAGGAGCTTCTGGGGAGTGTCGAGATTGATGATGTAGAAGGAAAAGTCCACAGGTTTACGGCACTGCCTGAGAGAGACGAGCTTTTCAACCGTCTAGTGGCTATTGGAGGACATAAGTGGGTGAATATATGAGCTTCTAGTCTACACAAATGGTACAATTTTAGATTGACAGTTTGTTTGGTTAATTTTATTAAGAGATGCGGGGAGCTTGTTATATCCTCCTGCAGATACAGTTATTAACAAACCGCAGGCAAATTTATTTCATTGCCGGCCACAGTGCAAGCTTTCCAGTTGAGATGACGCAAGCTCCCAAATTTTGAAATACGCAAAGTCGTGCCGCTCTGCTGACAAACTGCACGGAGAGAAATGATACTCCAGCACACATAAAGGGAAAACAAGACCGTAAGGCTAATTGAAGCGAAAATGGTGTATTATTGTGTCTGGTACCATACATAAGTAAGAAGCAGCAAGGTGCTAAGCTGACGTAATGATCGAAGTCAGAAGGGTCAAAGTGTAAGCAAAGTCAAATGTACACACCAGATCCCCCAAACTCGGTGTCAAGAGGCTCGCATCAAGACATGCTATACCAGCTCACTAGGGTGACTGAAACGTCAGTGTACTCTTCGGTATGTGAAAGCCGTCGACAGTTCAACAATCCGCGGGTGTGGTGTCCCATTCGACCTCCACATATTTGTTCGCCTGAGTGCACCATGGAGCAAGCACAGCAAGTGCCATTGCAAGTCGCTTCACTGGAACCATTCTTCTCTTCCGTTCCCAAAGACTATGTTCAAAGCCGAGTTTCAAGGTATTAAGAAAGGTTCTCTTAGCACCCGCATAGTCGGTCCAGTCGGTATTGTCATCGCCAACTCGGTGTTCATTGCGACACGTCGTGTCTTCGCCATTCTCACGTTTCTTGAGTAGGTACTCTGGAGTACCGCTGTACATCTCCAGCCAGAAAACATCTTTCTGCGCACCGCCCTCCCAGGCCTCCGTTTCCACGTAAGTCGCGACCTCGAGGTAGGTAAGGTAGTTAAGAATGCCGTGTAAGGCCACACCACGCAACATAGCCAAGTAACTTAGCCATTCGTCATCTGAATGGGGTAGTACAAGGTGGAACAGTTTCTTGCCGTAATAGATATGCATAGCTTCAGCGCGAAAATAGTCGAATTTCATTTTCCGAGCAGACTATACCACAATTAGCAGTAGTTTTGTATACATAATCCGGACTGACCGCTCAGAACGGCGACTAACGCCTTATGCAAACATTTGGCCAAAAATCACCCCTGTTTGCAATATATCAAGCTAGTAGGGGTGCCGGAATAGCCTCAATTCGGCTTAGATGCCAAGAAAACACGCTGGAACGGCGGCCACTACAATCGAACACCTTTGCGTCGTTCCAGCGTGTTTTTGTGACCATTTTGGGAATAAGAGGGTTTTCTACACTTTGAA